AAGGAAAAATATACCCAGTTCCTATCAGTTTGACTATAAAAGTTATTTATTGCTAAGTATATGAAATATAGAATGGTACTAGTAGTAATAGACATGCAAAGGAAAAGCAAACAGAAACAACTACAGTATTACCCTGGTTTCAGTAAGTATTTGGGGAAACTTAGCTCAAGCTTAACTAATACAGTTCAGGTTCAGAAATTTATGCCTAGAGAGAAAAGAGAGAGAGAGTGCTGGGATCTCACCAGTCCAAGGTACTCAGCTTGCAAAGCTGACAGGTAAAGTTCATAGCATGATCCTTCAAGGGAGATGATCTGTTCTTCCAGCGTCCCAAGAACAACAGGGGATGGTGTCAGCACACACACTGCTGCTTTTTACAGATTTTTATCCCCTCAGTTCAGCTGCTTCGAAGCATTCTCAATAGTGAGAATCATTGTCTTTTCTCTTGACAAGGGGTTATCTGTTTGGAACATCTCAAGAAACTGATTGATAATCAGGAAACACATAAGGCTAGGGAGTAACCAGATAATTGGGAGCCAGCTTGAAATTCCTATGGATAGCAGAAATACTGATGAGATATCTCATGATTTCTTCAGAAACAATAGCTAGTTTGCAGCATCAGAGTTTTGGATTTTTACTTGTTGTGAACAAGCCTCAGCTTAGCCTGACTTTTCCAGATCTTACTATAGTCTTTTAACAGACTTAAGGCAATTATGGCCTTAAGTCATAAGGGGGGTCTATGGGGGTGTTTATAACCTTTGGGCAGGAGGAATTCCACTAGTCGTCCGTGGGAAAGTATGACAACACCTGTGGTCAGAACACCAACGGACTGGACGCTGTGATGAACCCTTTACCATTGTTCAAATGTTGCCCATACCCGCTTTGACTCGGTCTCCTGCCTCAGCATTCCCTAACCCGGCAACTGAGTTTTAGTCAATCAAGTTGAAATAGGCCACCCAAAGTGGGACCGGGGAACGTACAGCCCGAGATGCCTACTAAACTTAGAGGTGTGTGTGTGTTTGGGGGAGAAAGTCCTTTGTAAATCCAGATTAGAACTGGTCTGATAAATGCTGAGCTGGGTGTGTGTAAATGTGGATTGATTAGCATTTGGAGCACAGATCTCCCATCATGCAGTGCTCGCCTGCTTCTCTGCTCCCAGAACTCACTGCAGTCTTTGCTTCAGGCTTTCTGTTCTCCATCTCTCATACGAACAAGTGGTCATCTGGTTCCATCTCGGCGGCAAATAAGACCTAGGGTGGTTGTTTCATTCTTGTGACCCTTCTCTGAAGGGTTTTAGGTGTGTCTCCTGCTGCATCTTAATCAGTGTAATTTAGGTAGAGGAGGGGAGGAAGGGGGGTGTTCTTTGTGAGTCAGACAGGCTGCGTCCTGTGCCAGGGTCCCCCACGAACACAGAGATGAGACGTAACAGCCCCTGCCCTCCGTTAACCACTTCCATCCCCCAATCTGCCCCCTCCTTATTTGTGAGCAGTGAATCTCCACTAAAGACTGCAGTTTCACCCAATCACTGAGCTTCTCTGCCCGTTCCCGCTTTGTGCAGCCACGAAGGAATTAGCAGTAGTGCCATCAGGCTGGGTTGCAAGGGGGGTGGGGGGGGGTCTATGCTGCAAGAGGCACCCCTGAGTCAGGGTTTCACCAAGTCCCGGCAGGATCAGGTCCTGAGGGTGCTGGAAGAAGGACCCAGCATCCGGTCACACTGCCCTGGGGTTCTCACACTTCCTCTGCTGCTGAATGATGGAGCCAGAGCCCAGCCTCACTCAAGCCACCTGTCCCTTGCTTTATGCAGGGTTGCTTGCACTCGTGGGATACTCAGGGCCTGCAGGATTGAATCCTCAAGGGGGAAGTCAGCCTGGTTCCTCATTATTCATCATATCTTGATCTGACTTCTTCACCCTGGCCATCTAACCTTGCTCTCCACCGCCTGGTCTGCACTCACCTGCCCTGCGTGGCTCAGCCGGGATGATGGGGGCTCTCGGAGCCATCCTGCTCTCCCTCCTTCTACTCCTCCAAGCTGGAGGTGATTGACAAGGGGCTGCTCTTCCCTGGGTGCAGCTTGGGGCGAGCTGAGGAATGGGAGAAGGGGGTCTTTGGAGCAGAGACTGGCTTTGGGAGCTGTGTTTGTGCCATGTTTTGCAGAGGGGAGCACTGGGCTAGGATGAGGGATATCAAAAAGCAGCAGGAGCTTCCAGGGACATGCATCTTTTCTACTTGTTCTGTAGAAAATGCAAGACACGGCTTGCCTATAAGTGCCCTTTGCACCCAAGAGAAGTGTGCGACAGCCTGTGTTTCCCTAACGGGCTGAGGAGCCTGCGAACCCTTCTCTC